TATCTATCTATCTATCTATCTATCTATCTATCTATCTATCTATCTATCTATCTATCTATCTATCTATCTATCTATTCATTCTGCTGAAAGGGAAGTAATATATTGAATAGAACATGAAAGGCAGTTGAAGTTGAGCCCAGGCAATTTCCGTGATAATTTGTAGACCCCATTTGTGAGGGAGCAGTGTGGTGGTATTTCATAGGTGGAAAGACGAGGTGGAAGGTTTCCTTAAAAAGTTCTTTTGAATTATGCTTCAAAAATGTCTTAGTTTATTTTTCTATCTTTCCCCTCTCCATTCCTCTGGTAGAAATAGCAGAAGTTAATGCTTTTATTGGAATTCATGTATTTAAAGCCGGTTTGGTTGTGTTTAATTATGTCTCAAGTACTAAATAACTTTGCTAATGAGGGGCTTATGGCTGAGGTGTGTTTGCATTTCTAACAAATGGTCTCTCTCTCTCTTCTTTAAATGGGGATAATCAGTAGATACAACCAAATGAGAGGCAGCCATTCAAAATAACCTTTTAGATGTTTTTACTCTGCTCTAATACTTTATCATTAGACATGCTGACTGGGTGACATGAGAAGTAAAGTCCAAAATATCTGGAATGTGCCCTGGCATTATTGAAAACATTTTTTTTTTTTACATCCTGGAATGGAATTTTACTGTGTTTGAGTAACAACACTGCTGCCACTGAACTTTATGGAGCACAGATTGACTAAACGAAGTTGCTATGGCTTCAAATGTTTATCACCCGCAAGACAAATTATTTTGCAATTTCTAAAGTGTCTTAGGCGTTTCTTCACTAGAATAAGAAAAAAAAAGTTTGCTTGAAATCATTAGAGAACTCTGCATTTCATAAAAGTTTGAAACTTTTAAGACGAGAGAACATCCGGTTCTTTCTGCTCTTAATACCTGTTCGATTTTTCTTTCAGGCTGACTTAACTGGGATTAAATGGAAACGATACGTATGGCAGGGCCCAACGTCTGCTCCGATTCTTTTCCCTGTAACGGAAGAAGATCCCATCTTAAGCAGTTACAGTCGTTGCCTGAAGGCCGATGTCTTGAGTGTATGGCGACGAGACCAAAGGCCTGGGCGCAGAGAGCTATGGATCTTCTGGTGGGGTGATGACCCCAATTTTTCAGACCTAATTCATCATGACCTAGCAGGTAAAGGCATGGATAGATAAGCTCTTGTGTTCCTTTTGTGGTGGTACCATTCTTCAAGTATAACATTTCCCCCCTTGACTTTGTGTTATGTATTTATTATATCCCACTTAGAAATTGTTTTGCTACTTTACTGGCTTTGACAGGCTTGGCTTTAAACAAAGAGAGGATGACACGTGTGTTGTGGTGTTTCCTCATACAGTACTGTTTGTTTCTGCTCCAAATGATTATATTTTTATATTTTAAGCTCCGTATAAGTGTATACCGCTGTTTTTACTAATGTGGGACTGTGAAGGGCCACAGACCCTGCTTAGTACTGTGTGGAATTTTCACGTGGTTACAAGGGCCACAGCTTTAGTGCAGTATGAAAACAAGCAAGGATGGTAAAGGCCCACATATTTGGGCTGCTTCTCTGGGAAAAATATTGCAAGAGGATGTATGGATGACTTTATTTCGGTATCTGAAATTTGGTCTAGCCTTACCCGCATTTGGAAATTGTGTTGAATTTACAGGTCTGGTCATGAGGAAAGTGGAAGATTTGGGTAATTTGTGTCATCCATAGGAGAATTGTGTCCGTGGTTTTTTCCTTCTTTCAAATGGAAGGTTTTTGGGTCAGGAGAAGTGCTGTATTTAAAAAGAAAACTAGAAGTGTAGGTAGGATCTGTTTTGGCTGATCAAACTACCATCTTGAGTGAATGGAGGGCTATGTGTGCCTTTGTTTCTACAGTTTACCTACTTAGCATAAACAAGCTCTTAAACTGAGTTCTTGACATCTTTAGTTAAAAGGATTAAGTAGCAGGTGATGGCACCCTTCACTGGCTGATAGTATTGGTTACATGAACAAGTAGTCTGACTGGGTACTGTACACACCAATTTATGTTCTTAATATAATTATACTAGTAATTGGTAGGAGTGAATAACGTGCATCATTTCACAGTTGTTTATGCATTTGCACATACTGCTGATTAATCCCCTTTTTGCTGTCAACAGTTTTCTCCCCAGGTTGTTGCAAGAATTAAGTATCTATTTAGGCTAAGAGGGTTATATTTTTAACTAATAATATGGATTACCTGTACATAACTAAAGAATAGGCATTAAAAAAATCCAAACAAAAATACTTGGAGAAAAAAAAACTTGTAGAAGTTGGGTTTTGTAGAAACTTTCAAAATAGGCTTGGCTTAGATTTGAATTGCCTGATGTAAAGTCTCCTGTGTCAGTAGCTCATAAGTATGGTTCTTGAAAGTACTCTCTATGGCAAGTACACGAGAAATAAAGTATTAAATCTTTAACTTAATGTTTTAAAAACAAACAAAGCATGTTCATTGCATATGTTCTATTGAGAACAAAAACAGTAAAATTGAAAGGTTAAAACAAGGTTTTATAAAATAGTGGCAAAAATTTGAGGGAACGAGAGGTTATAAATAGCCCAGAACAACTTAATTTGTTGTGTTCTAAAAAGAGGGCTTTACTTTACATAGAAAGTGACGTGTTGGTTTAATCTGAAAATAAATCAGCGTAGTTCAGCTGTAAAGCTGGGTATCAGTGGTCTTCAGAACATTTGGACGTTCCCTCTAATTTTAGAAGCATCACCTTCCAAGCACTTATTTAAATATAGGCTATTTAAGCTATTTTTTTCATCACCTATCCTAGCAAAATGGTGCGTGAGCTTGGCTTTGGCAGCAGTATGCTTTACGTAAAGATGCTCATCAATGTTGAAATGTCATATTTAATCCTTGAAAAGTTAACATCTTCTACATGCTATATTATTGTAACTTAAACATTTACATATTCTAACTGCCACACATGAAAAAGCTAAGAGTTGTTTCCTAGAGATCCTCAGACTAATAGACACATTAAGAGAACGGAATGGGAATGAAAATGGAAAGCAATTGCAGTTCTTGCCATCTTTACCCAATTGTTTAAAATCGGTATTCCCTTTTAATTTACATCCAGAATCATAACCTTCCTGTGTCACTAAGCTTATCGAATTTAAGTAAGATCAGTGCAAATAACATACTGTATATAGAAGATTTTAGCATTAGTTCATCCCATGCTATGTAACCTATTTGGCAGCAAGGGATCTCCAGTATTTTCAGTTTTGGGTGAGTCTGTCAGCATCTTCTCGTGATATTTAAAGTCTTTAGGTTGTCTACCAATGTTCTTTGCCATGTACAGGTAGCCCTCAAGTTGCAACCATGATTGAGCCCAAAATTGCTGTTGCTAAGTGAGAAATTAGCTAAGAGAATTTTGCCCCATTTTACAACTTTTCTTGCCACGATTGTTAAGTGAATCAGTGCAATGATTAAGTTAGTAACATGGTTGTTAAGTGAACCTGACTTCCCTATTGACTTTGCTTGTCAGAAGGTGGCCCCAGGACACTGCAATCATCATAAATATGAGTCAGTTGACAAGTGTCTCACATTTGATCGCATGACCATTGGGATCCTGCAACAGTCATAAGTGTGAAAACTGGTCATAAGGCACTTTTTTCAGTGCAGTTGTAACTTTGAATGGCCACTAAATGAACTGTTGTAAGTCGAGGACTGGCTGTATTTCGAGGATGTCTCCTTGGTAATTTGATATCAGGAGGGGAATCCATCTCATTGCCATCTTGGGAATTTGATTACTGTATTCTCCATAGGGAGTGTATGACCTGCTAGATATATGGAAGAGAAAATAACAAATCTGTAACAAAACAACCAAGCTCAGAGAGCACCAAGGACCCCTTAGTGGTATAAAATATTGTGAAACACAATTAAAAATTCTTGATAAGGCTGTTCTAATGAATACAAAATGGAAGTATGCATGATCAGTGTTTGATTTTAATTGTTATAGATAACATTGAATTAATTATGTAAATCCTAGGCTCATTATTTGAGACAAATGGATCGTTCTCTAGCAAGACTCATCTGCATTGTATATTGTATTGTGGTGTTTTGGGTTACAGGTATTTTAGGAAGTAGAATTGTTTGTGTGCTTTGTATAACCTTACTGTGCTGCTATTTTTACTTCTGGCTTTGCCGTGTCCTGCTGGCAACTTTTAATTTGACCTACACTGTTTCAATGATTTTTCTTCCATTTAATGTATTTAATTTAATTATCGCTGAAAAACTTCAGCTATTAGATTGCTTAATAACATAATATATAGTCAGTTAATGTAGAAGCCTTGTTGTAACATTAGCAGTAATTACAGTATACAATATAATATAGGTCAGGAGCAAGCAATATGGTGCTTTCTAATGTCTTTTTGGATTTAAGCTTCTACCCTTTATATTGTTTGATCAGTGGCAAAATAGTAATGGTCCAAAACATCCAAAGGGCACAATTGTGCGATGAACAAGCTACTCAAACCATTCCCATTTTTATAGCATGACAATTTTGCTGCGTGCGTCTTCTGTCTGGCTCAGGACTTGCTGTGGCAATGAAACAGCACCGTCTCTGGGCTCTTGTGAGATCTCTCCCTTTATTTGCTATAACAGGAGAAAGGAAAAGCTTTATGCATTCAACAGCTCAAAGCTAATCAGTATATTGCTAAGAATATTGAATGCATGGCTGTGATCCTAGCAGCAATAAAGGGGGGCGGGGGAGGAACACCTAAAAGGTAAGTCCTTTACCACAGGACTTAATATTGTTATCTAAGGAATTTTCCTAAACCTGTACAGACGTTAAGAAGCCAATGCTGTCGGAAGTTCATTTTTCTCAAGTACAGGAGAGACAGCTTTCTTCCCCTTCTAGGCTATGGAATTTATTCCCTCTGCAGTGAAGCTTGGCCTTCATTTTTCTGCCTTTGGAACAGGCAGAAGGTCTATTTCTTGTGTGTGTGTGTGTGTGTGTGTGTGTGTGTATTTTTATAATTACCTCCAATAGACCTATTA